TTATTTATTTATTATAATAATTATAAATTATATCTTTTCAATCTTCTGATTCGAATTATATTATAGTTATGGCATTTAAAATCATCAACCAATTAACAGGTGACTGCTGTCCATCAGCGTTCTCACATGCGCGAAAATTTAACACGCAGAGTCTCTTGTTATATATTTAAGGCCAGTCTGGTATTAGCATCCTACAGTATAGATGTCAGTGATCAGACCGGTGTATCGTTCTGGCAACTCTGGTTCTCGGTTTTAGTGTAGTGTTTAGTGGTGTGCATATACCGATTGTCATATTGTAGTGTTCATATTCTCGTGTGATAACGTCTAATTAAGAAGACAAATATGTCTCTTCTATACCATTTACCGCCCGAAATATTGCTAATAATTTTTTATTATGTGATATATATACTTTACTACAGCTCAGAAGAGTATGCAAAAATTTTGATGTAATATCAACAGACATCTTAAACAAAAAAAGTAACCATTTGCTTGCTACGAATCAGATGTCGAAAAAATTTCGTGAACGGTAAGTTAAATATATATATATATAACTTAATTCTTATTTATATTTCAATTTATTCTAGAATTTTCTTTGTAACACGCAATCTATCGAACCAATTTTTGATAATTTTTACTTCATATTATTGTTCCTGCTCTGTCTTAAAATCACATGTTTACTGATGATGCTGAGTATTATATTTCTCCAAGTAACGACTTTTGCCAGTATATGTATTTTCTATAGTTTTTCTATGTGTCCCTACCGCGGTTTATTTACATCACATCTCCACTCTCTCATACAAGCACATCAGTGCTAATGTGCCCCCTCTTTCATTTTTCAATCAATAGCTATCAGAAATTTATACATTATATCTGTCGACGTTACAATCTTCTCTGTACTTTTGCACAAAATAAATCGATAAAATCACACTCTTTGTCTCCATCAAAGCAATTATTAAAAGAAAAGTGCACTCAGATAACAAAAATATTTTTTTTCAAATATAGTACAATATATGTCGATAAAAGTTTTTCGCACATATTAACGTTGAGTCATAGCTTTTGAAGTTTTGCACAGGTTAAAACCTGTGCAAAACTTGATTTAATTTTTTAAGCATGTTTTTTTAAAATACACTTTAATTTTTACATATTATCAGTACATTCACATTCAAAATATTCACGATTTTTCATAAGATTACATTAAAGAACGTACGTCTTATTTTCTTTTACAGATGTAAACCACTATTATCTTCGTATAGATCTAAATTTGTTACGCATTACAACTGGCAATGTGAAAGATTTAGAAAAAAGAACATTTTTCCATTACAAACAAATTTCATAAAAAAATTGAGAGGCATGACAATGAACGAAAATTGTCTAAAAATGACTAGAAATACAATTTGGCTTTATGACAAAAATAAACTTCTAGCTTTTAATCGTGCAAAGAACGGTAACATTAGCCATGAAAACGTGATTTGTGCAACTTGTGACCATCAATTTTCAAGCATTGCTTATTGGAATGATATAATTATAAGCGGCCACGTGTAAATATTAATTTATAAATTTTGTTTTATGTTTATTTTCTTTTTCTTACAAGAATTCTTGCAGAGATGGTAGTATTAGACATTGGAGAATTAAATCGCGGAATAACATTAATAATATTCAACAATTAAAAGTACATTCCAATGTATATGATGAATACGTTTCGAACATAGAAGTAACCTCGCAACATATTATATCAAGTTCTTCAAATTTAATAAAAGTAAGATTAAAAAATTTGGATATATGCTATGTTAATGTAGAATGTAGAATGTAAAAAGTCCGTTTTTGTTTAGCTACAAAAAAATACATTTGAAAATAATGCGGAAGAAAAGGAAACAATTTATGGAAAGGCAGGAAATTAATTCGGTCAATTTCATTAAACCCTACAGAAACAAAAGTTGCTGCTAGTGCCGAACAATGGTTTCTAATTTATGAGATTAATAAAAAGTAAGTTATGTTTTAATTATGTAATTGATTTCTACAAATGTTCAATTAATCGTTGACTATGTTTGTACAGACACTATTATATGATCCAATTTAGTAATTATAATTCGTAATTATAACATAATAAGTTATATAACATACTGGTGAGAGCCTTAAAGAAGTGGTGCCCACTGTGGAAAAGAGAGATCTACATTAGACGAGAAAATCTGTCTGATGTCTGTCTTCGTCTTTTTAATATCCCCCATCATAACGATAATAAATGTGAAAAAAAACACATAGTCTACTATTGCAATCCTTTGGCCGCAAACTACATATTAGTTCTTATGCGAAAGGCTCACTCCTGTATATTATATAGCCCGATGACAAGAGGGAAGTTTGGTCTCCTTTCTCTAATCTTATTGATTTTCATGTATATTAGGAATAATATACAATAAACTAATGTAAAGGTATTTTAGTTGTCGAGTAATGGATGAATGTATAGATGGTAATACATGTTACCAACTACTATGGCAAGATACCCACACTATTCTCATGCTGTATGAATCATATATTAAACAAATGGATACAAGGTAACAAATCTTATTATCGACATTAATTAGCCATTCAATTTAGTTATATTCGTTACTGTGATTTTAGAACATCCAAATTTGTACGTACATGGGATGCTTCTGTCCTAGATGAAATATGGTGTGATTTATTAAGTCTCTGTTCAGATTATTTGTATACTTTTATGACAGGGACGGAAGATAATACAGTAATTCTATGGGATCAAAGATTAAGTGAACGCATTAAAGTTTGTATTACTTTTAAATTTTATGTATCTTGCAATAATCTTTATTAGTAACGTATTATTTACTGTCTTAAAATTATATATTTACTGTCTTAAAAAATTTTCAGACGTTTGATATAAATTCTGATACTAATTCTATGGATCCTGTATTTTTTGTGGAATTTGATAGCACCCATATATATGCTATTACACATCGTCTTGGTGTGGTTGAATGTGATTTTAAGCAAGGCTATTATAGCGCTTCAAGGACGTATTTTAGCAATTTTATTTAAATAAAAAAAGTTGATTAACAATTTTTCTTCTATTATACTTTGATTGTTTACATAAATTATATACTTAATATCATGAAACAGAAAATAAATTGTATATTTTTGTCTGTAATATGTTTGCTTCAAAAAATCCATATTTTTCAAAATATAACATTAGCGTGTGCAAAAATTATTTGTTCGAAACAAAAAAAGATTTTTAATCTTTTGCGCTGGCAATTAATTCAGAGGCAAGCATGTCCAACCCGTCCAATAAACAACGTCCAAGTATTTATAAAAATAATTTTAAATAACAGCATCAAATTTGTTTGTCTAAAAAATTTTTTATATAGACTACGTGTTACACTCGTTATACCTACATTTGGAACAAATAACATTTGACGCGCAAGGCGCGTTATTTTCGCGTAAGAGATAAAAAAATATAAAAAATTTAATCAAAATAAAAAGATATTTATTAAAAAACGCAAAAAAACTTGGCGGTGCTACACCACAAAGTATTATAAAGCAATGAAAATCCATCAAAATATAATTCTTTGTGAATTAATTGATAATTACTTTTAATTTTTAATTTTTAGGTATTAGAATTCTTAGATTTTTAAAAGCTTTTAAAAACTTTTTTTATTTTAATTATTTTTTCATGTAAAATCTTTACTTTTGAATGAAGTATCGAATATAGTAGCAATATTTATTTCCATGTGAATAAAAATAGATACCCGATACTTTAAATGTTTCTACCGGTGATAAAACCGCAAATATTGACCGTGGCTTGCGTTTTTCGTGCGGTCGTCTACGCACCGCAAGAATGAAGTCGGCCGCAATCGCGTAACCGCAAAGCAGCTAGCGCGGTAGCACTCTTAATTTGCCGATGACAGGAACCGCGAACATAACACATATACAGGATGATCTGAGACATCTTTTCTACAATATTTTTGAATATTGTAGAAATTTCTCAAATAATTATTTTAAACGCTGCATTAATTTAGATGTATGTATGTTACAGATCAACATGTGAGAACAACTCAGCTGCTACGCATCGTATCGGTAAGCCGATTCAATGAATTTTATTTTAATATTATATTTTATTTTAATATTATTAAGGGAATATATTTAAAAATATTGTAAAATATACAAGATGTCTCAGACTAATCATATCACCTGTTAATAAATTTTTGGGGTTTCTCATATAATAAGGATATAAAAATCAATATGCAAGGTGCTTCAACGCGTGAATTTTTGACACAATCTGAGATTAATCATTTTTTAAATCTTCTCATTTAAAAACTATTGTAGCCTTGACATTTTAATATAAAAATTTTTGTCTCCAAATAATCTCAAGAATCTGCAGTTAACAGATAATATTGTTGGTCTGAGACACTGCGAGAATCGTCGATGAAATCACATAGAAACGTGATTTGCGCGACACGTGCGCGTAACCTATCGTAAAAATCTCATAAAACGATCAGCAGATCCGGTAACGAGCGACCTACCGTTTGTTCTCGACTCACTTACTCGAAGAAAACGCCGACAGACGATCGGTGAAACCGCTGTGATCCGCGAACATTGCTGGTTATTTTCTCGAATGTGGAATTTACACAGCTGTAAATCTTCCTCCTATTTCTCAGAGCCTCAGTGATTTCAGAGATATATAAGGCAATAATTCTAGTAATTTTTAATAATAATCCTACTAATCCTTGGTAATCCCAGTTTTATGTATTTATGCAATTTATTATATCATTTTTTCATGGTTGTCCCATTAAATAAATAAATTATAAATAATTGTAAAAGTGTAATTACTTTATACATTTGATTGTGAAGTAAAATTTGATAATTAGATATTGTAACTGAACTGTTTAATTTAGATGGATTTTGTTTTTATAATTTTACAATGATTATTAAGTTCATCATTGGAAAATGTTGATCGGCTTTTTGTTTTTGCGAGACATAATATACAATCCATTAAACGCGGAAGGGTCAAAAAGCGACTACAAACCGTTCAGGCGTGTTCGCGGCGATAAACTCATTGTAACGCAGTAGAAAAACTGTTTGGTGCGAGATTTCGAGAGTGGATAGGCGTGACGTTGAGTCTTGGCTCTTGTGGAAGAGCGTGATATTACGTTTGGTCACAGTGCCGCGCGGTATGATAGCGATATCGTCTTGAAAGAGGCCACGCTTCTTTAACTGCTTCCATAATTTGCCAGCCTCGAACTGTTCACTCACCATAGTGAAATATTTTTCGTTTTTATTCGTGGCGTCAAATTATCTTCGTCGCCAGAAGAATTATATTTTTCAAGTTTACACGCTATACATATACGAAAAATTACTAGATATTTAATAATAAAATAAAATAAATAGAATACTGATATCGGTTTCTACGTATTTATGAAATATTAATGTTACACCGATAATTATCATTAATGTTAATAACATAACTTTTATAATAATTTATCTTTTATATTTTCTTTGTTAATAAAATGTTATCTTTTCTTAATAAATGCTTTCTCATTGAAAATATATGTGAAATTATATTATATTTTAATATCTTAATAATTTTACTGATATGTTATTATATTATATATAACCCGACTGATTAAGAATGTAAGATATAGAGAAACGTCGCAAGCAATCTCGTATCATTGAATAGCGGTACAACACATAGTTATGTACTGCAAAGTTTCATCTTACTTTTGGTACCAATGGCATCGAGATACTTGAAGTAGCTGAGAATCCCATAAGATAAATGCATCCCTAGAGTGTGTCGTCTAACAACGGCTTGGTGTACCCGTAAAAAGTAATATTGCGCCGACGCTCGCCGCAAGAAAGTGCTTTTATCGTAGAAAGTTCGTCTCGTTATCTAGCAAAAAGAGGCAAAGGAATTTACACGCAAACCCGCTGTTAGCAAGACGATACCGAGTGCGATCCTTACCTCAGCAAGGCTGACGATAAAACAAAAGCGCATCATAAATTTGTAATTAGTTAAACATTTCAAAATCAAAAATCAATGTTTTATCGCAATTCGTAATTGTATATTTAAATTTATAAAAACTCTTGATTAAATCATTTCTATTTCCAAAATTGTAAATTTTAAGAATATGTATGCATTAATTGTACTGCTTTTATTCGATAAATCTAAAATCTATTAAAAATTATTAATTATGATTATTAAACATGATTTTGTACTATTATTTTGACCATTAATGCTTTATATATCTGCCCTACATTTATTTCACATGTTTATTATGTTATCTAATGTATAAAAAAATGTTAAAATATAAACTATTATTACACGAGATAATTATAATTCACTTAGTAATAATGTCTACGTTGTAGTTGCGATTTTGTTGATTAGGCAAGTAATCCGCGTAACAAGTTCCACATAGCAAGAGCCTTACGTAAGACAGGTGGATCTCCGTCATCAAATTAGGCGTGAAGATCCATCCTCCCGCCAGCAATAATTATTTAGCCATGATCTTAAGAGTAACTTAACGCAACGTCACCTGCGCTCCACCATCTGCTAAATCGCTCTTGTAGTTATACCTTCGCGCGAACGCATCGCTTAACGGAGTCAAGAAAATGTCACGGTGTAATATAGCTTGATTACCTCATTAAATGAAAAATGATAAAGATACAAAGTATGCGGAAACTTTGAGAGAGAGAG